GTGGGGCCTGAACTCTGGGCCTGGGCGCTGTCCCTCAGCTCTTCAGCTCAAGGCTAGCACTCTACCACTTGAGCCACAGCGCCACTTCCGGCTTTTTTTTTTTCTGCTTATGTGGTGCTGAGGAATCGAACCCAGGGCCTCATGCATGTGAGGCAAGCACTCTACCACTGAGCCAACTTCCCAGCCCTATCCAAAAGTTTTGTTGTCAAACATCTAAATTCTTAAAACACATATTAAGGAAGTGGCGCTGTGGTTCAAAGTGGTAGAGCACTAGCCTTGAACAAAAAGAGCTCAAGGACAGTAAGCGCTCAGGCCCCAAGTTCAAGCTCTATCACTGACCAGAAAACAACAACAAAATATTAAAATGCACTATAGGCATAGAAAATATGTCCTACCTCTCCATTCTTAATCATCAGACATAAGTTTAAGAGAGCTGAATTTTAATTTCTCCTAATAGGATAAAAGATTTTAATACAGATACTTTTTTGGTGGTGGTAGGGATTGAGCCCTATACTTGCTATATAGGTGCTCTACCACTTGAGCCATGCCTCCAGCTCCTCTAAGATACATTTTTTTTGCCATTCTTGGGGCTTGAACTCAGGGCTTGGGCACTGTGCCTGATTCAATCTGTGCTCAAGGCTAGCACTCTACCACTTGAGCCACAGTGCCACTTCCGGCTTTTTCTATTTATGTGGTACTAAAGAATCAAACTCAGGGCTTCATGCATGTTAGGCAAGCACTCTACCATTAAGCCACATTCCCAATCCCTCTAAGATACTTTTGATAGCTGTACCTCATTAGTGTAGTCTTGATACTTTGATACTTCTTCTTCAATATCAAAACACTGGCTAGTTAGAGATAATAACTGTTTCCTAAGATGAACCATTTTTCTGAAAATCAAAAAGAATCTGTTAATAAGCAGCTTTGGGTAAAATTCTCACAATATGAAGTACATATTATTACCCCAAAATAGTGCCCTTACCCCATCCATTCTTCAGACTTAGCAAAAAATGCTTCATACTTTTTAACACATTCATCTGTAAAGTGGGTCATAGCTTTTGTTGCATGGTAATACAGTTTTTGCCTGTAAATTTAGAAATAACCAAAAAGACTTAAGTGAACTTCACTGTTTCTACTTTCAATATTTAAACATTTTCAAATGTCTCCTAAATATTTCCTAAAATGACTGTGTGGATTTTGAACATTTGCAGTAGAAAGCAAAAGTTTCTAGGGTAGACATTATAACAGCAAGAGGAAAAAGATGGTTTATATTTACTGACTAAGAAAGTGGTTATGTATGTCTTTGCTTCTATTTCTTGATCTCTACCCTCTTCCAAACATAGTACCTGAGGCAGTAAACAACTGAGCAGAACAGTGTATTCCCCCCCTCCTCCCTCACACCCCCTTCTTGTCCAGGCAAGAATGAGCTTCAAAAAATGCAGTCAGAGTAACAATCCAATAAAGTCAAGACAAATAAGTATTTGTTGCTGAATCTAATTTTTTAAGAAGAATCAAATAATTAAAGGCCACTGAAATAACTATGAGAGAAGCTAACTTATTAAACATAATCTAGACACTTACTTATCAAATTTGTGGATTTGTTCTTCATTATAAGCTAGTCCTAGAAATAAGAAAATAGCACATATTTGTCTTAATGTGGAATTGCAATATAATGAACAGTATTTTTTCTTTTGAGATTATTTCTTCAAATACCTAAGAGTTTGAAGCAGATGCCAGACTTGTGGCCTATGCGTTAAACATGACTTACAGATTTTATTTGACTGCACAATGTTAACACACACAAAAATTTTTTTTGGGGGGGGTCTGGTAGTGGGGCCTGAACTCTGGGTCTGGGCGCTGTCCCTCAGCTCTTCAGCTCAAGGCTAGCGCTCTACCACTTGAGCCACAGCGCCACCTCCGGCTTTTTTCTTTTTTTTTGCGTGGTCTGAGGAATCGAACCTAGGGCCTCAGGCATGCAAGGCAAGCACTCTACCACTGAGCCATCTTCCCAGCCCCACACACAAAAATTTAACTGCCAACATTTAAAAACCAGGGTATTTCTAACAAAACTTGTATTTCTACCTTTTTCTTTTCAAGTACTGGGATTTGAAGTCAGGGCCTGCACTTCCTAGGCAAATGCTCCACCATTGTGCCATACCCCTAATGCTCTTTTGCTTCAGTTAATTTTCAGCCTGAGGCCAACCTCAGATTCCAACCTATGCCTCTCATATTGCAGATACGCAGTTTGTTCATTGAGAGGGTGGTTTTACTAACTTTTTGCTCAGTCTGGCCTTGAATCCTAATTCTCCCAATCTTTGTCTCCTAAGCAGCTAGAATTATGGGCACAATACACCACACTCAGCCCTCTAATTTTTCTTTTATGGGGAAAAAGGGGGCAGTTCTGGCTCCTCACTGTCTCCTTTCAGTCCTGGCTGTTATCTGCCTGGCCTCTAAGCCCTTTGGAATTTAGGAGCCTGATATAATATATTCCAAAGGCTGACTTTAAGTGCAAGTTTTTTGTACATTCAAGTTGTTCTCTAATAGAATCATACCTCTAAAACAAGTATAACTGGAAGTGGCACTGTAGCTCAAGTGGTAGAGCGCTTGCCTTGAGCTGAAGAGCTGATGGACAGCACTCAGGCCCAGAGTTCAAGCCCCACGACCGACAAAAACAAAAAAAAAACCCCAAAACAATAAAACAAGTATAACTGAAGTAGTCACTTTTACAAATATACCACATTAATCCAATGGAATTATAACTAATAATTAAGGCTGATTTCATTAGATTAACAAACACCAAATTTTACTTACTACGTTCTGCTTTGTCTTTTTTGAACTGATAGTAAATCTCTGTGATGCAATTTAACAGGACTTGTAGTTTTTCTACACTATTTAAGAAAGAAAAACCCAAAAAATTAACTGAATTGTTGTGAAAAGGACATTTAATAAGATAAAGAATTCCTAGTAAAGTTATGACCTACTTTCTATCTTTTGGATGGGTGCCTTCTTGATGTGCCCAGACATCAGCCAGCAATCCACCAGGAGATAGTCTGCTCTCGATGTCCTGAAGACTGGTTTCTATTGTTCCCTGAGAGCTGGAAAGCTAAATAAAACCAATAGGTTCAGACCCAGTTGCCAAAGTCAGAAATGATAATCACAGCACCAACAGACTCTACAGACTGTATTGCATTTCTCTGTAGATTACATCAATTTAAGCTAATTATGTACATCAGTAAGATGTACATAATTAGAAAAGAGCAGCTTCTTAGGACAATTTCCACCAATGAAAATGTATTAAAATATAGACTAGTATTAAAACAATTCATGTAGTAAATACTTTGTTTTTCCCTCTTTTTAATTTTTCAGTGCTAGGCATTAAACCCAGGAACTTATACATGCCAGGCAAGTACTAGTGAACTACATACCTGGTATAGTAAATACTTTTTAAATTTTATGTAGGTTTTGAATGCCAGGCTATGCTGTGTGTGTTTGTGTGTGTGTGTGTGTTGTTACTGGGGTTTTTACTCAGGGCTTTGCATTCACTCAGCTTTTTCAATCAAGGCTGGCACTTGAGCCTTGTCTCCCATTGGGCTTTTTGCTGGTTATTTTGGAGATAGTACCTGTGGACTTTTCTGGCCAGGCAGGCTTCAAATCTCAATTTTCTGATCTCAGCCTCTCAATGGCTATGATTATAGGGTGACCCACCAGTGTCCTGCTAAACACTTTTAATTGTTCAATCAATCTTGTGTTTCTTTTTTTTTTGGTCAGTTGTGGGTCTGAACTCTGGGCCTGGGTACTGTCCCTCAGTTCTTCAGCTCAAGGCTAGTGCTCTACCACTTGAGCCACAGCGGCACTTCTGGTTTTTACCACTTGAGCCACAGCAGCACTTCTGGTTTTTTCTGCTTATGTGGTGCTGAGGAATTGAAGCCAGGGCCTCATGCATGCAAGGCAAGCACTCTACCACTGAGCCACCTTCCCAGCCCTTGTGTTTATTTTTCTGAAAAAAAAATTAGTTAACACTCATTTGCACTGAATGTTATAAACATAAAGAACTATTATGAAAGTCCTCAATGGAATATGTAGGTATGTACAGAATGTGTTTTCTTTATAAAGGGCCTAAAAAAGAGTAACTTTTAAAAATGAAAATGAAAGCCATGTATGGTGGTTCAGACCAGAGACCAAAGAATCACAGTTCGAGGTTAGCCTGGGCAGAAGGTTTTGAGACTCCATTTCAACTAATGGCTGATTATTGTGGCTTGATTTGGTCATCCTCAGTGACACTGGGAAGCAAAAGTAGAAGGACTGCAGCCTAGGTTGGTTGAGGCATGACCTACCTTGAAAATAACTAATCCAAAAGGGGCTGGAGCTATGACTGGAGCAGTAGAGTTCCTGCCTCCTAAATGTGTTCCTGCCTCCTAAATGTGTGAGGCCCTGAGTTAAATCCCCAGTAATGTCAAAATAAATAAATTTTTTTTAAAAAAGTAAATGAACGGGGCTGGGAAGGTGGCTCAGTGGTAGAACACTTGCCTTGCATGCATGAGGCTCTGGGTTCGATTCCTCAGCACCCCATAAGCAAAAAGAAAAAAGCCGGAAGTGGCGCTGTGGCTTAAGTGGTAGAGCACTAGCCTTGAGCTGAAGAGCTGAGGGACAGCACCCAGGCCCAGAGTTCAGGCCCTACAACTGGACCCCCCCCAAAAAAAAAAGTAAATGAACATCTGGGCACTACTGGCTCAGACCTGTAATCCTAGCTATTCAGGAGGCTAAGAGCTGAGGATCGTGGTTCAAAGCCAGTCCATGAGACTCTTATCTCCAATTAATCACAGAAAAAGCCAGAGGTGGTATTGTGGCTCAAGTGGTAGAGTGCTAGCCTTGAGCAAAAGGAGTCAGGGACAAAGTTCAAGCCCCAGGCCCAGCAAAAAAAAAAAAAAAAGTAAATGAACAGAAGCCTTATCTAATCCTGTCTAAAGTTAAGCTTAGGAAATATATTGCTTACCTATCATGTTACTGAGTATTTGTAAATCTTATTAAGAAAGGATAAACGTTAGAATTAAATATGTCTAGATATTTAAGGGGTCTAGATATATTTCTCTGCTCCATGTGGTTTTTTTTTTTCCGGTCTGGGAGGGGGTCCTGACCCCTTCAAGTGTTTGTCCATGCCCTCCTCTATCTCCAGCCATGAACCAAGAGGAGCTGAGACATGGGGAACATGTTATTTCCTTGTTTGTAATCCAAGCCCTGAGCCTGAGGGAGCTCCCAGGTGAGAGGACAGGAAGCAGGCTGGGCCCTTGGTTATCTACCTGAGGTTCAGCCAATCACTGGCTTTGGCAGGTACCTTCTCCTCCCTGGGACCCTGAACCCATCTAAAAATGTCAGCCTTGGGCTCCTTATACCCTTGTACCTTCCACTCCTATACACATAACTCCTACTCTAGCAGAAAAGCTCTACAAGGCGGGAGAACACCATTTACCCAAGAAGGGCTGATGAATGTCCCTCACCATGGAGCCCAGAAAATTGCAACGCTAGGGCCTTCCAGTTCCCTTGTTTTGAAACTTTTTTTTTTTTAACCTGAGACTGACAGAACTTTAAAATTCAAGCAGAATGTCAACCCTTAGAAGGGTCTCATGTCTGTGTTGACTTCCTCCAGTTCCCTATAGACAGAGAGGAAGACCCATTATTGGGTTCTGAATACTAAAATCAGTTCCACTTAAAAACAAAAGAATCTACACATTTTTTCCAACTAAGTTAAGCTAAGAAACTACATATATTTTATTATTTTATCCCTTACTTATAGTGAGCATTTTCTACTTGACTATACCAAACTGGTCCAAAATATTTGTTTTTCATCAAGATGAGACCTTTATACCTGCATAAACATGATCCGTATTATTTGGGGTCAAAATTAGAAGATACATTTATAAATCTAACAGGTAGGCTAATGGTTAAAACAATACTTGCTAAGTCCCAAATTTTAAAGCCTTCATTTCATGGCAGGTCATCTTACTGAGAAGACCAACAAATAAGACTATAGTCCTTCTAGCTGATGTGGGATTAGTGAGGGAAATTACAGGAAACAGCAGGCGGGAAGAAGGAAAAGCTCAGAGGAAAGAGGAACAAATATCCAAGCCACTTTCTGACAAAGGCCACGGAGACTTTCAGACATCTTAGCATACCACTTAAAAAAGCTGCAGATTTGATCTGCTATGTCATCAATGTTTGATTAAAAAAATCTCTGCTCATCTTTTTGTCCAACTCAGTACCATAAATTGAGTCCTATGTTTTCAGAAGGTCTCTTCAATATATTGAATAAATCAACTGACCAACTAAATGAATGAATGAATACTTGTAAACAAATTGAACAAAATCTTATAGTTATCTTTGTTACTGAATTGAATGAGATAAATTAAAACTAATTGGACTTTTGTAAATAAACTGGTAAAAATATTAACTAAGATGAAATGTCAATGACTAAACTGTTTCAAAGTTACTTAACAAAGTAAAAATTTATTTTTTTATTTTTATTTTTTGGGTCCGGTTGTGGGGCCTGAACTCTGGGCCTGGGCACTGTCCCTCAGCTCTTCAGCTCAAGGTTAGTGCTCTACCACTTGAGCCACAGTGCCACTTCCGGCTTTTTTCTTTTTTTGCTTATGTGGTGCTGAGGAATCGAACCCAGGGCCTCATGCATGCAAGGCAAGCGCTCTACCACTGAGCCACCTTCCCAGCCCCAAAGTAAAAATTTATACATAGAATCCTTTCCTATTTATAATAATGATGAAAAAAATCTCACGACATATATATATATGTTTTATGTATATATATGTATGTTATATATATATATGTATGTTTTATATATATATATATAGATAGATAGATATAGATATATACGCATATATAGGCTTACTTCTGTTTTCCTAAGTCTATACCTCCCTGTTTTGGTAGCTAGGCACTCCCCACCCTCCTTTATGAATAAGACCTTTCTCACCCCTTCCATATAAAACTATGCATCAAAATATTCCACTCACTCCTTATCCATCCACCCAAGTGTGGCCAAGGTGTAGGCACATTGCATTAGATAGATGAATCAGATCCTCTGGCCCTGAAAAAATGAGGGATAGAAGAACCCTAATAACTGATAACACAGAGGAAATTAAATTCACTAAATAAACTTACATCAGATGGGCACTAAAAAGTTGTGCCTATAATCCTAGCTACTTAGGTGAGTAAGCTCTAGAAGATCAAGCTTTGAGGCTAGCTGGGGCAGAATAGTTCACTAGATTCCATCTCCAAAATAACTAGCACAAAAGAGGGCAAGAGTCATGACTCAAGTGGTAGAACACCATCCTAGCAAGCAGGAGGCCCTGGGTTTAAACTCCAGTGTCACCAGAAGAGAAGAAGAAGAGGTATGGAAGAGGAACAGTATCCTTCCTGTCTGGTTTTGAGATGCTGAAAAAATTTTAATAACCATTGCTTGGGTTTAAGTAAGCACATGTGGTAGTTCTTCTATTAAATTAGAGTTTATATTCTAATGTTCTCAACATTAGTTATTAGTTATTATTAGTTATTAGGCCTTGCATGCCCGAGGCCCTGGGTTCGATTCCTCAGCGCCACATAAGCAAAAAGAAAAAAGCCAGAAGTGGCGTTGTGGCTCAAGTGGTAGAGAGCTAGCCTTGAGCTGAAGAGCGAGGGACAGTGCCCAGGCCCAGAGTTCAGGCCCCACAACTGGACCCCTCCCCCCCAAAAAAAGAATTTACATTCTAATTCTTAAAATTTTTAAGGTCTTCAATTAGGAAAAGAGCCACAACTCAACTGCTAATGAGGAAAACCAAGCAATCTAATGAAAAGAAGTTGGCTTTAAGTTAGAAGACAGATTGGTAGTCCTTAAAGACTGTGTCAGTAAGCCATTTACTTACCTTTCCTTTGCAAATCTCACAAAAACAATTTTCATTGAAAGCTTTCAAACAATGCTTTTAGCACTAGGAATGAATTTCCATTGCCAGTGCATGAGCTAAGTCAAGTTCTAAGCTAAAAGCAAGGAAGAAAAATGCAAAACATTTCTAACAACAGAGCTCTTTATTTAAATGCAGGTTAATATTGGGGATGACCATCTCTTGTTTCTCTGACTTCCAATCACTTTATAGCAGAACTTTTCAAACCTTTGGACCAAGACTCACTAGAAATTCTCTTTGTTTAAATTCAGTAACATTTTGAAGTCTATAAATTGAACTGAGATTTTCATGGGACAGTAATTTCCTAATGCTTGATGCACATTATGGTTCATTCTGTTTAAAAAAACAACGAAAAAACCTGCTGATGGCAATGCACTAAACTTCACAACTTATCACTCATGTTTGAGATATAAAACTGAGGAAAAGTAACAACAATTTTTTGGATGTTACTGCGATTTGAACTCAAGGCCTCTTATTTGGTAGGTAGGTGATCTACTACTCATCTACCACGGAGCCACAAAATGGCCTATTTCTGAGAAAAAATAAAAACAAGGATGCAAAGAATTGAAGGTCTTACATGGCCAGCCAGGAACAGGTAGGTACATAGAGAGAGATCTGGGAGTAATCCATGAACCTCTGTAATACAGTTAAATGAGAGAGCCAGACTTCTTGGAATGTATCTGTATCTGTTGGTACTTGTTTATTTATTTGTTGGTCATGGGGCTTGAACTCTAGGCATGGGTGCTGTCCCTCAGCTCTTCAACTCAAGGTGAGTGCTCTACCACTTGAGCCACAGTGCCACTTCTGGTTTTCTGGTAGTTAATTGGAGATAAGAGTCTCATGGACTTTTCTACCTGGGCTGGCTTTGAACCACAATCCTCAGATCTCAGCTTCCTGAGTAGCTAGGCACCCTGCTTTGCCTTGAGAATTATAAATCTTTCTTTACTTTTTATTTTGGAAATGATCTGATATTTCTAGACAAGTATAAACAACCTATATTCAAATGCATGTTAATTTGCACTCATAACCTTGCTTTAATTGCCAGAGGAACAACATAAGAGCATTAAATTTAAAAAACAAGAAAGGAAGGATAGGTGGGGAAGGGAAGATGGACAGATAGCTGCCCAAGTTTAAAAACACAGTAGGCATTTGTAAATGTTATAAAGAATTTCATAGCAGTAAGTCTCTAAAGATGGGAAAAGACTACTTACTCGTTTTTCTGGAGATTTGTAGAAATCTCATTGTTAACAAGAAAGGTTAAGGTCAATCTTGCCAGCAAAGGATTATGGCCTTACAATTTTCATACTTTTGCAAATACTTACTCTCAACAACTTGGTGTGTATGTCTGAAATTTCACCTAATTCTGCTGCTTCTAGGTGAATCTTCATCAACTTTTCATATCTGCATGAAAAGTCAGTCACAGAAAAAAAAAGTATAATAAATGCATAGATTTAAAAAAGATGTTTTATGAATTATTTTCAGCTTTTTTATTTTGCTTGGTTGTTAAGGACTCCAACTCAGGGCCTGGGCTCTATCCCTAAGCTTTATAGCTCAAGGCTAATCTGAGCTCCATTTCCTGGACAGTGCCCAGGCCCAGAGTTCAGGCCCCACGACCGGACCCCCCCCCCAAAAAAAAAATTATTCAAAGTCTAAATGCCAGCAGGTTATAAGAAAACCTTGAGGCCTTCCTTCTGAAGAAGACTTTTTTTTTTTGGGTCCGGTCATGGGGCCTGAACTCTGGGCCTAGGCACTGTCCCTCTCAGCTCTTCAGCTCAAGGCTAGCGCTCTACCACTTGAGCCACAGCACCACTTCCGGCTCTTTTCTTTTTTCTTATGTGGTGCTGAGGAATCGAACCCAGGGCCTCATGCATGCAAGGCAAGCGCTCTACCACTGAGCCACCTTCCTAGCCCTGAAGAAGACATTTTTTTATACAGTAGTTTCCCCTGATCTGAGGTGTTGCTTTCTATAGTTTCAGTTAGTGGTGGTCAATGATTGTCTGAAAATATTAACTGAGATATTCCAAAAATAGTTCATAGGTTTTAAGTTCATGTTCTTTTGAGTAGTGTGCTAAAGTCATATACCATTTGTTCCTTCCAGCTTGGGATTTGAATGACCTAGTCACCCTGTATATCCACACTATATATACTATTCACTTGCTATCATGTATTGTATGGGGTTTGCTACTATCTGAGGTTTCAAATATCCACTGAGCATTAATCAAGGATATGGAAGGACTACAGATACGGATGAAATTAAACAGACAAGTTAATTTCAAATAATCTTTTTTTTTTTTTGGGGTCCAGTCGTAGTGCTTGAATTCTGGGTCTGGGCGCTGTCCCTCAGCTCTTCAGCTCAAGGCTAGCGCTCTACCACTTGAGCCACAGCGCCACTTCCGGCTTTTTTTTTCTTTTTGTTTATGTGGTGCTGAGGAATCAAACCCAGGGCCTCAGGCATGCAAGGCAAGCGCTCTACCACTGAGCCACCTTCCCAGCCCAATTTCAAATAATCTATGTCAGTATAATAGTAAAAATTCTAGATTTAAAAATCAACGAAGGGGGCTGGGAAGGTGGCTCAGTGGTAAAGTGCTTGCCTTGCATTCATGAGGCCCTGGGTTCAATACCTCAGCACCACATATGCAGAAAAAGTCGGAAGTGGGTGCTGTGGCTTAAGTGGTAGAGCACTAGCCTTGAGCTGAAGAGCTGAGGGACAGCACCCAGGCTGAGAGTTCAAGCTCCAAGACAAAAAACAAAACAAAACAAAAAACAAAACGAAGGTCAATAGTATATACTGACTTCATTTAGTAAGTTTCCTCTGTAATTCTAGAAAGAAGGCAGTTTAAATTATCAATTTTTCAAGAACCTTCCAGATATAAACCTAACAAATAAGAATAAAGTGCCCAGGCCCCACAACTGACCAAAAAACCCAAACAAATAATAAAGTAAAAATAATTCCTAAAATTCTAAAAATACTCATTAGTGGTGAATCTATAGATACTTCTTCCTATTTCCTTAGTTGGTAATAAGTTCACCATTTTACTATTCAGACTTTCTGCTAGACATGATATCTTTTTTAATCTCCTTTTATCCTTTACAAAGGGATGGTAAAATGCCACCAGAGATGGCATTTGTTTCTTACTGAGAAAACTGTTATTTTTCCCCTTATGATGGACCAACTACTATCCTAAGGATGTTCTGTAACACAAGCACTTGCACGGCATGCCACAAGACAACTAAATAGAACATTTAATACTTTTTCTACTGCTAGCAAGGAAGAAAGTCTACTCACGCTTTCACTGTTTTCTCAATGTTTCTGATGCAGAAATCCAATGTAATCACAACTTCTGTCTTTTTGTGAACAGTTTCATTGTAATCATCTTTAACTAATTCACTACAAAATAACATCATTGCCATTAGTTTATCTAAGGAATCATTTACTTTTTCTTGCTTAGTATTAATTATACCAGCACACTATAAACTAGCATACGTAAAAATGAATAAAAGTGTAATCACTCTTTTATGTTTGCAGGAATATGTTTGCAGATAATATTTTGTTCTAGATTATAATTATATATTGTGTATATTATAATTATTAATTCTATTCCAGATTAATTAATAAAATTAGTTTTTAGACTTTTTTGAGGTTACTATATATACTCATCTATGATTACATTTATGTGATACATCTGAAATAGGCATATCTACAGAGACATTGTTTTAGTGGTTGCCTAGGGCTGGTTGGTTTGGGGAAAAATGATGAGCAGTTGGTTTGGAGGTGATGAAAGTGTTCTAAATTTAGAGTAATGGTTGCATAGCTCTGTAAACATACAAAAATCACTAAATTGTCCATTTTTAATGGATGAGTTATACAGTATCTAAATTCTATAATGCTGTTTAAGAAAGTAAATATGACTTTATTTAGGAAAAAGGTAGGTCATGGAGGAAGATTCTGAGGACTTACCCATAGAAAGAATATACTGCACTGAATTATGACAATGCCAAAGTCTTCCAAGACAGCAAAATAACCACTAAGTAAAGGTCTTTGGAAATCATACTGTAGTTTTAAAGTTTAAATTCTATTTTTCCTCTTGATTTCACAAGGTTATTTTAAGAGGTACATGATGGGCTGGGAAGGTGGCTCAGTGGTAGAGCGCTTGCCTTGCATGCCAGAGGCCCTGGGTTCAATTCCTCAGCACCACATAAGCAAGAAGAAAAAAGCCGGAAGTGGCACTGTGGCTCAAGTGATAGAGTGCTAGCCTTGAGCTGAAGAGCTGAGGGACAGCGCCCAGGCCCAGAGTTCAGGCCCCACAACCGGATCCAAAAAAAAAAAAAAAGAAGTACATGAAAAATAGCCATTACTTTTTGTTTTTGTACTAATTCTGCGGCTCAAATTTAGGGCTTGGGTACCCATGAGCTTTTGTGCCCAAGGCTAGAGCTCTACCACTAGAGCCACAATCCACTTCTAGCTTTTTGGTGATTAACTGGAGATAAGTCTTACAGACTTTCCTGCTTGGATGGCTTTAAGCAGGAATCCTTAGATCTCAGCCTCCTGAGTAGCTAGGATTACAAGCATGAGCTATGGTTGCCTGGCTCCACCAACTGTGTTTGTAAATTAACTGTGAAGCAAATAGAATAGAACAGAAATCAAGTTCATGGGCCTAACCAGTCTGAATTATCTGATTATCAACAAGGGGGTGATTATAAATTATTCAGTGAGACCTAGCAGAAGAATAATTTAAAAATTTCCACCTGCTACTTACATCAACCACCGAATTCCCTTTCGCATTAACTCCTGATAAAGCAGCAAAGTTTTGGCAATTCTACAGGCATAACACACAACTCCAGTTACTGCCTGATGGAAATATAAGTGGTGTCAGAATTTGGTGCCATTGTTATATAGAATATGAAAAACTTTAACACATACATTTTCAGGCTTACATATTCCTATTAGGTTGATATAAAATGTAACTACCAGTGTCTAAAAGCTAAGGGCAGCTATAACTAATAAAATATTTCATCATTAATTTTATCTAACTGATAAAGAATTTTTCTTATAGTAAGTTCAAGAAAGGATACCAAGTAGAGAGAATACAAATAATTTAGAAAAGGTAACAATTTAAAGGAATAAGTTCCTAACTCATATAGACACATATGCTTATGCCTCTACTGCTGACAGGATAATTTAAAATCAAATGTTCACATAGTAATTTGCTTAAATACTAACCTTAGCCATACTTGCATCGCCATCTAGATCATAACGTGGATGTACTTTAGGGAGGGAAACTGAAATATGAAAAGGGGTAAAATTTTATTTTATTTATTTATTTATTTTGGTCCTGTCGTAGGGCCTAACTCTGGGCCTGGGCACTGTCCCTCACCTAGGCCCAGAGTTCAAGCTCCACAACCAACCAAAAACAAAAACAAAAAAACTATATATGAGGCTTTTCAAATTTACTATTATTTATTGACTAATTTATAAAATTTTAGTATTTACAAAGATCTATGTCATCACTTTGATGACAAATTACTGGTTTTTTGTTTTTGTTTTTTTTTTAGAAAAAAACAAACAAGGAGAAAAATCCATACGTACTTTTCTCATAGCGTAATCCTATGGTATTCAGGGAATCCCGGCTTACTACAAAGATTGGGTTTTCCTCTGTGGTTTTAGGAAAATGTTGTGCCAACCTTCCAGGTTCTAGAACAAGGCGTCGCCCTTCATAGATGAGTTCTTGATTTGAAGAAATAATTTTGGTTTGTTTATATACCAATTCATGAAATACAGTAGCACTATGAGAAAAGTTTAAACAAAGACAAAATACAAGTTTAGATAAAATGAGAGACAAATCTTGATTTTTAAATGTTGAGTTCAACATTTATTTCTAAGATCAGGACCAGTTCCTATAAATGCTTTGTTAATATGAATATAAACTTACTAAAATGAAAATTCCCAACAACCTGTATAATATACATTATATATATATACATAATATATATAATGTTTAAAAGTGGGGAAAAACACAGAGAGCAAATAGATACCTAGGTTTAAATCTCAGCTCTTCCAATTACTTGTAATAAGTGTAACTCCTCTGTACTTATTTTCCTCAGTGGTAAATGAAGTAACAGTGGTAATCATTCTCATGTCTGTGAAGATTAAATGACTTAAATGTGTAAAGAACAGTATTCTCAAGAACAGTACTCTCAACGGGTGTGATGTTTGCTAAATAGATTTAAAAATAAGCTATTCTCAAAATGATATGTTTGGGGAAAATATGGATTCCCCTGAAGACATCTATGAAATCAAAGAAATGTTTCAGCAGCAGAGTTGTGGTCTGGCTCTACCACAAACTTCTGCTTTGATTGGCTCAGGTTGGAAAGACACTTAAATTTAACTGTACTTTTAAAATGAACATGGTGGTTAACACCCAATTCTGTTACCTAAATATTCAGGCTATTGAGTAGCAAAATGATGATGAGTAATATTAAGTTGATATTATGATGTTCACTTTGTATCTTATTTATATATTGTAGGTTAGATTTTCACACCTATGATAGTTTACCTAATCTATTTTTTTTTTTCTGGTGCTTGGGTTTGAACCCTAGGCTCGTGCATGCTAAGCAGGCACTTGAACACTGAGTCAGATTCCCATCCCACCCTTTTATGAATTTTATGAGATACCAAAACTGCTATTTGGATTCTGTCAAAAGAGAAACTCATTAATTCAGACTTCCCTGGTTTTAGATGCAAGTATGTATAAATATTTAGTTAGATGCAGTTTTATCACATGGACAGATACTTTTTAAATCTAGGTATAATGTATTTCTGTTCATATTCAACAAATATTGAATATATGTCTAGTATTCATTGTTTTATGACATTATGTACAAATAAACCTAAGCTATATTTAAGATTTTAGGCTTTAATATATTTTTTTGGGGGTCTGGTCGTGGGGCCTGAACTCTGGGAGTGGGTGCTGTCCCGCAGCTCTTCAGCTCAAGGCTAGGGCTCTACCACTTGAGCCACAGCACCACTTCCGGCTTTTTTCTTTTTTCTTATGTGGTGCTGAGGAATCGAACCCAGGGCCTCAGGCATGCAAGGCAAGCGCTCTACCACTGAGCCACCTTCCCAGCCCTAGGCTTTAATATTTTTAAAGCAGGATAATACTCTTAGTAAAACTGAACTCATATACCAGCAACACAGTATTTATAGTTATGTGACCACATAATTTTTTGTCACTTGTAGGGCTTGTTTCCAGGGTATGGATGCTAACCCTGAGCTCTTTTGTTCAAGGCTAGTGCTCTACTACTCTGAGTCCTAGCTCTACTTCCAGTTTTCTGGTGGTCAACTGGAAATAAGAATCTTGTGGACTTTCTTGCCGCGATCCTCAGATCTCAGTCTCCTGAGTAACTAGGATTACAGGTGTGAGCTACCAGCACCAGGTATGACCACATAATTTTCTTTTTTTTTGTCGGTTGTGGGGCTTAAACTCTGGGCCTGAACGCTGTCCCTGAGCTCTTCAGCTCAAGGCAAGCACTCTACCACTTGAGCCACAGTGCTACTTCCGGCTTTTTTCTTTTTGCTTATGTGGTGCTGAGGAATCGAACCCAGGGCCTCATGCATGCAAGGCAAACTCTCTACCACTGAGCCACCTTCCTAGCCCCTGACCACATAATTTTAAAGAAGTCACAGAAATTAGTTTTGTAATACTTAAATTTTAACTACAAGCTAATTTACCTGTAAATTTAAGAAAAGTCCTTTTCATTTTTTTGGCACTGCTTGGGTTTGTAATTAGGCCTTCATGGAAGAAGCTATCCCCAACCCAAATCCTTTTTATTTCAGAGCTAAGTGAAAAAGAATTTGCTGAGTATTCAATCATAACTTTTCCAGTGAGAATTGAGTGCACTTGATGAAACTGGTGTTTTTGGTTTTTTTTGTTTGTTTTTTTGGGTCCAGTCGTGGGTCCTAAACTCTGGGCCTGGGCGCCATCCCTCAGCTCTTCAGCTCAAGGCTAGCGCTCTACCACTTGAGCCACAGCACCACTTCTGGCTTTTTACTTTTTGCTTATGTGGTGCTGAGGAATCGAACCCAGGGCCTCAGGCATGCAAGGCAAGTGCTCTACCACTGAACCACCTTCCAAGCCCCCAAAACTGGTGTATCTTACTGTCCCAGTTTAGGAAAATATTTACTACATAACACAAGGCATTGATACAAGAAAGATATATAAACAGGTACTTACGTATTATAGCTGTGAATATAAATTTTATGAGCCGTCATTTGTTGTAGTGAAAAAACATGAATTATCATTCGGTGAAGTATATCACTAGTTTCTGCAAAAAACTGGTCAAAACCCCAGCACTTTTCCTGGTCTGCTTCAAGGATGTTTGCAAGAACAGGGGTAAGTAGTACCTGAAGACCTCTAAAATAGTATTAAAAAAATAGTATTGAAAAGTACAATCCAAACCAGGAAATCAAAGAATTAGCTATCTTACATGTTGAAAATCTCTTTTCTGAAATGCTTGGGACTTTCTCATTTTGGATCATCTGCATATATACATTATAAGTATCTTGGAGATGAAACCAAATCTAAAAATGGAATTTTTTTATATATCATATATATAACACATAACCTGATATAACTTTATACAGTATTTTTAGTGTACCTGAAGTTTGGCTGTGATCAGTCTTGAGGTCAGGTATGAAATTTTCCACTGAAGGTATTATGTCTGTACCCAAAAAGGTATGGACTTTGGAGCATTTTGGATTTTGAATGCTTAATTTATATTATTTTTTTCTTGTCTTTTTAAGAAAAACTTATAGCTTGCCAATTTTTCAGAAAGTTAAATAACTTTCAGTTAACGGCAAATGTCAATAAATTAAGTTATAGGATTTTAATATTAACTTTTCTTTTGCTGGTAATTGTTTCAATGCTTGTCAAGCTCCAAGCTTCCTCACTTTTCTAAATGCATTATGCTCATGGTTATCCAGGTAAGATCAACTGACTATAATCAGATGTTCATGAGGGTATTTTATTTTCAGCAAATGTCTCTAATGTCCTTGTAATATAGCAATCCAATACGTAACTTTACATGCTAGATTGGCATTTATATGCCTTCTTTAGAAAGTATATTATGGGGCTGGGAAGGTGGCTCAGTGGTAGAGCACTTGCCTTGCATTCATGAGGCCCTGGGTTCGATTCCTCAGCACCACATAAGCAAAAAGAAAAAAGCTGGAAGTGGCGCTGTGGCTCAAGTGGTAGAGCGCTAGCCTTGAGCTGAAGAGCTGAGGGACAGTGCCCAGGCCCAGAGGTCAGGCCCCAGGACCGGACCCCCCCCCAAAAAAAGAAAGTATATTATGATATTAACCTACCAATCAATAGTAGAATTCAACAGGGAATAATCTCTGAGTAAAAAGATGATATACTTTAAAAAAACTGAGTGTAAGAACCTTTGCTTTCCTCTGTTTTCATTAAATTATAAAGCATGGTCATATAGGTTTCCAACTGTGGAATTTCAAATGGTCTTTAAAATTTAAATTTACCTATGTGATAAACACTAAAATAATCCCTTGTCTGTTAAGTTTTTTTTAAAATATATCTTTTTTTAAAAATGTTCTTTTCTTTTATTTTATTTTGTTGTTGTTGGTCCTGGGGCCTGAACTCTGGGCCTGGGCACTGTCCCTCAGATCTTCAGCTCAAGGCTAGCACTCTACCACTTGAGTCACAGAGCCAACTTCTGGCTTTTTCTGCTTATGTGGTGCTGAGGAATTGAACCCAGGGCCTCATGCACGCAAGGCAAGCACTCTACCACTGAGCCACCTTCCCAGCTCCAAATGTATCTTTTTTATTGTGAAGATACTGTACACAGGGGTTACAGTTACATGAGTAAGGTAATGAGTTAATTGTAATTGAGCACTGTTACCCCCTCCTTTGTTTTACCCATATCATCCCTTCTCTCCCTCCCTTCCCAACGCCTCCCTCTGTTAAGTTTTAAGGTATATAGTCAATGTTTTTATTTTTACCAAACAGCTATATATTCTCTTTCCCTTTGTTAGTAATCCAAATCTTTCTAACACCCCTCCTCATGTGAGGTAGATACGAGAACCAGCTTTTACTGCAATTAACTCAAGGTTGTCAAGTGGAAGCATAACACAGTTCAATGAAAATCAACCCAGAAATGTTTATTCACACAAATAAAAGTCTTTTTTTCTTACTGATCTTTTAAAACCATGAAAATGTTGGCTTGGGAATGTCTGATTTGAGGTGAAGAAAAAACTAGAGGGAAACATATCTGAACAATAGAAAGAGACCAAATCTTGATAAAAAGTTTGACATCAAGGATTCAGCTATATTTTGAGTCACATATACACATGAACTTTTAATTACAAAGCCAAGCTATTTCCTTCACTTAAACGAGCCAGATGAGGTTTTTGTTGTTGTTGTTGTTATGCAGACTTAACTAGCTCATTAAGTGTTTTTGTGTATTTGTATGTGTGTTTTTTGTTTTTTGCTAGTCCTGTAGCTTGAACTCAGGACCTGGGCACTGTCCCTGAGCTTCTTTTGCTCAAGGCTAGCACTCTACCACTTGAGCCACAGCACCATTACTGGCTTTTTCTGTTTATGTGGTACTGAGGAATCAAACCCAGGGCCTTGTGCATGCTAGGCAAATACTCTACCACTAAGCCACACTCCCAGTCCTCATTAGGTTTTTTGTTTAGTTGTGTCCATTGTTCATTTATATAGTACACTTTACAACTCTACTTAAACAAAAATTAAATATTTACAGCCTATCTTGGCTCATGCTGTAATCCCATCTACTCAGGAGGCTGAGATCAGGAAGATAACAGTTCCAGGACAGCCTGGAGACCTCTTCTCAACCTATAGTGGGGCATTGTGGCATTCACCATGTGAATCTCAGCTATATGAAAGGCCAAGATTGGGAAGAGCATGGCTCATAATCAGTCTAGGCAAAAAAATCTGCAGGACTCCATCTGACCATCTGAACTGGGAGTGGTGGTATAGATCTAACTCAGCAATGGCATAAACAAGAGGATCATTGTCTAGATATGGATACAGGTTCCTACTCAAATAACCAGTGCAAAAATGGCTGGAAGCATGGCTCAAGAGGTAAACTGTCTGCCTAGCAAGTATGAGAATTGAGTTCAAACTCCAATACTGAAAAAAAAAAAAAAAGAAAATCACATAATCTGTTTTTGGAAGATAAATTAGTATGCTAATAATTCATTGAACAGACAAGGTCTGTTATTCTCCAGAAATAAGCAATATATAGTTTAGACCATCAGATTATGGCTTCCAAATTCCTGCAATAAACAGCATGTGTTCATTTTCTGAGCTCTTTACATGTTATCAATTTTGCCTTTGCCTGAGGTCCCCAAATTACATTTTACTAAGTAAAAACTTAACACAACCACTATAATATTAAATTTCTGTTTCCTAATACAATGAGTTTTCTATGGTAAATCTATTTGCATGACCAAATTTTACTTCTGAGACTTTTTTCTAGAAAACTTAAGAATGAAATTATAATGACAATGGTTCTTGATAATCATTTTATCAGTGAAACTCTTGGTTTAAATGATTTTTCACAGGACCCTGTAAAGTGCTAAGTAATATTAACTTGTTTTAGATGTTTACTTACATGCTGAAGGCATACAAAAAGCACCCACAATTCACAATAGGCATTAAGCTAGATGCTAATCATATCCTATATGTTTACTTGTAGATTATATATCTATCTTGGTTGGAAAAAAATAATTCAATAATCACAATTCTAAATACTGAAAAAGTGTTGACTATATTTCTAGAGTGAAAACTAAAATAATTTACTATCAGTGGCAATGTAGAGGTAGAGTAAGTACTTGCCTAACCCGTGTGAGACTGGGTTTAATCCCCAATACCACTAAATAAATAGATAAATAAATAAAATAATTGATTTTGTACTTTGAATTTCTCTTGCACTAATTGCTTGTGATAAGATTCTTACCTGACATATTTTTGAGGCATGGTTGCTAAATTAATGAAGACCCAAATAAACATTTGAAACTTGCATAGCAGTACTAGAAAATTATTGTATCTCATCTTTTGAATCATTTAAGAACTTAAAAAAAATCAGAACAGTAAATGTTTTAGTGATAGCTTTCTATAATTCCAGTCGAGAAATTTACTGATATCTATGCCATTCTTTGTAGTCCACTGATACAACATTTTGTATAAAAGATACCTTAGTCTTAAGTGGAATTCCCACATTGGGAAGAATTTCAAAATTAGATATTAGTAATCTTAAAAATATATCCCTGATGCCCTAGGAAGAATGTTTATATAGCTCAGAATATTTACCACAAAAAACAAAAATCACATGCTTTATTTAATAATACCTAATCAAAGTATCCAGTCTGAGCTATATAACAAGACCTATATAACAAAACCAACAAAACCCCTAAAACTATATTTGAAGTATCTGAGTATGCGTGATTTTAGACAATGAAGCACAAAATATGAAAACTAGATACACTATATTTACCGAGAAAGACTACAAGATTTAGGCATCTCTCCGCTCCAGTCAATTGGTCCATTTTCTGCTTTTTGTACTCCAGATATTGCCCCAGAAGGCTTTCCAGTAATTATTTTATACCTTAAGAGGAATAAAAGCAGAATAAAATTAGAAGTTCATTACTATATAAGCCTATTAATGGGCTTTGCAAAAGTAGTTCCTCAATTGCACCTATAATTATCTACTAGACGAAACTTTGTAATTGATGGTCAGAGGATCCATAAAACAATCAAAATACTTTGAATCTGACTGACTGAAGCAGAATAATGGTTGTATGAATACTTTATATATGTCATAATTAATTTTCATTTGGATCTCAGAGTGCCATTAACAGCATCTTGATGTTCACAACAAAAACATCAATTTTTCCATCTGAAAAAATGGAGCAAACACAAAAAGTTATGTTACAGAATATCTCTAGACCATGAAAAAAAGCAATGAATCCCTTTTAGCCTACATTATTCACAGGCAAAGTCCACTGATAATAAAATTACCAACGAATGAACAACAACATTCGTTTAAGAAAACAAAACTAGGGCTGGGAAGGTGGCTCAGTGGTAGAGCACTTGCCTTGCATGCTCAAGGCCCTGGGTTCGATTCCTCAGCACCATATAAGCAAAAAGAAAAAAGCCGGAAGTGGTGCTGTGGCTCAAGTGGTAGAGCGCTAGCCTTGAGCTGAAGAGCTGAGGGACAGCGCCCAGGCCCAGAGTTCAGGCCCCACGACCGGGCCCCCCCCCCAAAAAAAAAGAAAACAAAACTATACAGAACACAGTATCAGAAAAATTCTTTGCATATTGAAAACATGTAACATGTAGGAATAGATGTGCCAAAATTATAAGGGCAAATTTAATGAGATTCCAGATGAGGATGTTAAAAATGGATGGACTGAATAGGTAGGGATGGATGGGGAAGCAAAAGAATACAATAATGATGTAGCAAGTCAATATAAGCAGTCTTTTGGGTTTCAGAACTTTTTAAAACTAAACTTAACATAGGAGGGAAGTATTAGTTTGTCTTTAAGAATACTTTTACTTACATGAAACTGTAAGATATAACAGAGGAATATTAGGTAAGCTTACAGATATAATTTCTGACAGAAGCTTTTTAATGTCTAAATAAATGTACTCTGAGAAAATCAGTATCTTTGTTTAAAAGTAGAACTAACCAGTGAAACTAGTAAGATCATTTGCTGCTTCCTCAGCAGAAGCAGCCACAATTTCTGTCTTAAGAGATTTTTCAAAGGAAATCAATGTGAAAAGTAAAAAGTGTTCACATGAGAAATTTGCGGAGGAGTAGCTGGAAATATATGAGATCAATGCAAAAGAAAGGCAAATAGGATATAGGAATACTGTTCTGTATTTACAAAAGTTTAATTTTGTTAAGAGCCATATAAACATTCATAATATATGAGATGATTAGGGAACAATTGCTATAATGTGAGATAAACATATCATTCAGTAGTAAATTAAAAGTTGCTAATGACAAAGCACTTTTAGGCATTCATTAATATCAATGTTCACAAAAAGTTGAATTTCTGTGCAAATAAAGAAACTTTGCTAATGTATAACTGCCCATGTGAGGATCAGGAAAGCCATTAGGTCGCTTATGAATCAGATGGCTCCTTTCTTTCTTTTTTTTTTTTTTTGGGTCAGTCGTGGGCCTTGAACTCTGGGCTTGGGCATTGTCCCTCAGCTCTTCAGCTCAAGGCTAGCACTCTACCATTTGAGCTACAGCGCCAATTCCGATTTTCTGGTGGTTTATTGGAGATAAGAGTTTCACAGACTTTCCTGCCTGGGCTGGCTTTGCAGGCGTGAGCCACCGACCCGGCCTAGATGATTCCTTTCTTAGGAAGCACCACACTTCTGATTTAATCCATTTTTAGGGCAACAAGATGTGCAGATAAAAAGCAAGATTAACTGTTTGGCACAATTTCTGTTGAATGAGACAAGCACAAACTGACTTTGAGCCTTTGTTAATGAAGAGATTTTATAAAAAAGACATGCTGTAAAGTAGGCTCAGGGTGACACTATATAAATATCTCTTGTACAATTAGTGAATGTCTTCTCCTTGATACACCTACTGCACTTACTGGACAGCATGTAAATACTCAAGTTTCAGCAAAAGTCACATCATATTTTACTTCCTCAAATTAGCAAAAGAAAAACATGCTTCTTCTGTCAATTTTCTTTTCTTTTTTCTTTGTTGGTTGTGGGGCTTGAACTCTGGGCCTGGGCACTGTCCCTGAGCTTTTTTTTTTTTTTTTGCTGGACGTGGGACCTGAACTGTGGGCCTGGGCTCTGTCCCTCAACTCTTCAGCTCATGGCTAGCGCCTACCACTTGAGCCACAGCGCCACTTCCAGCTTTTTCTGCTTATGTGGTGCTGAGGAATCGAACCCAGGGC